AACACAAAATCGACTGGAAATCTACCGAAAGGTTGGTTGCATGTGGTGAAGATACAACAAAACGCAAGGTCCGAGAGGCCATTGAAATACTGACCGAGAAAGATCTAATAAACAGGAGACTAGGCGAAGGCAAGATTAGCGAAAACTTTAGATATTGCCTAAACAAACTCGGAGAAGACCAGGCAACAGTAAGATCAGCAAAAAGAAGACGACTCAATCTAGATAATATCTTACTTTTTGCAAAATAAATCGCAGGGAAATGAGAAAGCAACAATCTGAAGCAAAGAGGAAACGTCTTCCGTGAGCCTGATCAAAACAATTAGAACCACGACATTTGTGGGTTGGCAAACAAGAGACTATGATGTAGGAAGAGATGCACATGGTATTACAGATGGAAACAGGAAACAGGAGACTAAAGCTATTTGGCTAACAATATACATGTTTGATTATAAACGTGATCCTTGAATCACGACTATTGTTAGCCAACTAGCTCTATCTTCCACTGTTTCTATCCTCTTTCTATCTATAATACCAAGTATATGACTTGCTATGCCCTATTCTCTTGTGTGCCAACCCACAAACGTTTGAGTTTTAACATTGAACCTAAGCAAAGCCAGCAGCACCACAACATTTGTGGGTTAGCACACAAGCGACTAGAGATTATAAAGTCATAGACTTGGTATTAAGGATAGAGACCGGATAGATGAGGCGGCGAACAGTAGGTTGTATAAGAGACGTGGTCCATGTGATAAAAGCGTGACCATGAGATATACTCAGAGGCTTTAGCCTCTAATCAATCACCCAGGTGCAGGGGGGGACGAATTACGCCTCGAGTAGAAGTGATGGGGAGCAGGGGTCGAGTGAAATACATGTACGAGGGAGATAGCGGACTGATTGACGGGGCAAGATGGAGACTTTGATAGTACCCAGGAAGGACTACGTAACAATATGACAGACTCTGGTCAACATTTTCAGCACCAGGGTGAAGGAAGTAATAACGACAGTGTGGAGTGTGAAGGGTTTTCATAAATGCTGCACGAGGGAGCACACCATACTACATTAAAAATAAGCACGGAAACAATTGTGACAGGGAAGTCGTGATAGGAGGATATAGGAAATGTGAATAGCCAAAGGCAGAAGGGGAGCTACCAAAACTGTCAAGTACATGTTTGGGCTTCACTTGTCTCCTTGACGAGTTGTAACATGGTGCTACGAAAAGCGAGACTCACTGACGATACCGGCGAAACGTCTGAGAATGTACCACGTCCACGGTCCTACTCTGGAAATTATGATGCATTCAATGGACTCCAGACTAGGTGCGTTCCTCTAAGTCTTCCTATCAATATGACCAAGTTGCGAAAACAAGGTCAAACAATTTCTACCTGTCTTCTGTTTGTTGATAACGGTTCCCTGATCACTTCCGTTTTTTCTCAAATTACACGCAAAGCTTTCGCTATTCTGCCTTCTTTCACTCTCTTATGTACTACATTTCTTTTAGTCATATATTTCTATATATATATCTCAATAAACATATATAGTGAAATTTAAAAATCTTTATACTACCTAACAATATATAAAAAATTTAACCATTTTGCACACTAATAATATTTACGCCTTGTAAGTAAGAAAAATTGTCAGATAAGCGGATTAATTTGGCTTGGTTTAGTTTAATTCATTTATTTTGAATTTTGCGGGTCGGGCAACAGCTTTGATTCTGAAGAATGGATCAGCCCCTATTTTCATGCACAAAATGCTTCCATAATTTTCCACAATCTGAAATGTCTCGCTCTGGGCAGACGTGTAGGGTAGGAAAAACAAATAAGGCTTTATTTCAACCCTTAGTCCTGTAATCCTCACCATTCTTCCTTCAAACAATGCGAATACTGCAAATCAGACTTCAAATACTCATTGTATAGTCTTTCTTTAATACATTTTTATTTAATAGACCTGGACCGATTTGCCCTAAGTGTCAGTCTATGAAGTCAAAGTACGGCGACCCTCATCCCTGTTCTATATGTATGCTGCTAATGTCTTTTGGTAACGCGTTGGTTTGTCAGCGATGCTTGCACTATAAGAATCGTTTTGGTGAGCCCAGAGAATGTCAGAATTGTGGGCAACCATCAGCATTTGTAAAGGATGAGGTAACTAACATTTTACTATAAATCATCATGTTCATGTGCGTTGTTCCTTATAACCTGCTTTTCGTGATCTTCTTTTTCCAGTTATATTAATTTGAAGCTATTATCATATTTTTGTTAACTTTTTGAAATTTAATTTTTATTTGCAGGAAAGTCGCCAGAAAGTTAATGGGCAGATTCTTTGCTGGGTATGCACTTATAACTTCAAGCTTGCTCGATCTCGTGAACAATCTGAGCATGGTAGCCTAAGGAAAAAACATAGCCATGGGCACCAGGGAAGGCGAACTGAAAAAATGTACTCAGCTGCATTATTCTTTATTTGTATAATTTTATCGCGTTTTAGGCCCGAGGGTTCATTTGCCAAACGTTCTAGAACGATGGAAGAATTTTCACGAAATTCTTCGTCGTTAGATGACTCACTGGGACATCATGTGGGCGGCATTCCCAACACTGCTTTAGGTGTTGGGCAGATTCCCGCCCCTGTACAAGCTTATAAGTAAGCTTATTAAGTAAACATTTTCTATTATTCTTAATTTATCTTATGTATTTTTTCAAAAATAGCATGGATTCTGTATACAACGAGCATATTCTGACTATCAGTCGACTGCAGGATGAAATTAAAAATTTGAAGAAGCAACTCAGCCAAAAATCTGCTGATATGATTGCAAAAGATCGAGTTATTGCAGATCTTAAATCAGATATTTTCACCAAAGAATGTGCTCAACGCGATAAAATGTCACGAATACAGCATGAAATGGAGAACGAAACTGAAAAGCTTTCGGTAAGTTTTGCTTTTTATTATCGATACATTTCAATCATTCTGCTTTTTTACGGCTTTAAATAAAATAATCGAATGCAATTATTCTAAAAAAGCCGACTATTATGGGACTTAATTTTATCCATGAGCTTTTAAGGAATAGTCACTGTTTGAGTAACTATAAATACAATATTAATTATGTTGCTTTTATCGGTAATATAATTGCTATTTAGATGACCTTATTTCATATATGGTTCATGGAGCTGATGGGGATTTCATTTACGATAGGTTGATAAAAAGGCTTGACTTGACATTAAAACTTAATTTTGTAATAATGTGGAATAGGTAGTTTTTCTCAGCTAGGATTTCTCTGGGTTTCCAACACCATGTATGCTTAGGAATTTAGCGGAGCTTGAATCTTTTGTGGTCAGAGCAAAAGGCAAATATTTCTCCTCCGAAACCACATGATTATACTTCCTTTGAATTACTCTACCGATATGAATTTCGGAGAAAAGTAAGCTTTTCAATTAACATTTTTGTTTGGGAATTTCTTATTTTTAGTCTACTCTGTACTTTTTATTTAAATCTATACATTTCCCAAGTTAGTTTTGGTGGATGATGAAGTGATCAGTTTTAGTTCTAATTGGCTAACAATTAATGGCCTCGTTTCGTCCATTATAATTTACGTATAGTTCCGCACCGAACTTAGGATTATACTAATGCGCAGTAATTTTGAGTCTATATATATATATATATATGCTACATTTTAAATGCACTTTGTATTAATCATCATTTAGCACAATATAGAAAGTCCGATTCTATTCTACTAACATATTTTCGATATTAACTTTTAGAGCTTAATGTGTCCTATTAATTTTAGGCGTTCGATTAAGAGTACTTTATTAACTCTTTGAAGAATTCTTTAGGATTCTCTTATGATTTAGAACCACTTCTCATCTGCGGGCAAAAATTTATTTCATATAAGTCAATATCTACGTTTAGCACATAAAATAGGATAACCACTGATGAATAAGTCTGGGCTTAAAACTATTATTATATAAAAAGTGTCCCTATCTCTCCTTATTTTAGTAAAGATAAATGAAATCTAATCTAAGAAATTGAAGGTGAGGAATAATAAATATTTACTTCTGCGTTTACGCATTTTTCATGACCAGATTGGTGAAGAGATGAGAAAAGCGAAATATCTTTGCAATGTTTCTCTTAATCTTAGTTTATGATTATACTTAGAGTAATAGATGCCTCAATTTAAAACCTAGGATGCTCTGAAAAGTTTAGGCCTTATTTTTTTTTATACTAAACTTTCATTCTCTCAAGAGATTTATTAGAATTTCATATTCTGTAATAATTTGTAATTCCTGAATTGTAATTATGTATTCTTTAATCTTACTAATTTGTTGTTAAGCATCATTAGCCTTTATTATGTATTTAAACTGTTGCTACTTTTGTCATAATTAGCTTGTAAAAGGCATCTTAATTGTTAACCAAGATGTGTAAGATTAACTTATGTAGA